TTGTTAAATATTTATCTGAAGGGGTGGCTTTCAAATAAATAATCAGCAGAGTTAATTTCCAATAACCAATATATTAATGATAAAAACTATTGTAAAAAGTATAAGCGAAGGAAAAAGTTTGTATTAACAAGGCAACTATTCGAGAACGACTATATCTATTGTTGGACTTTTTAGAAAGTTACCCCTACAGTACCTGCTATGGGTCGGTTCTTCGAAATTCTTCGTACATCAATTCAAAGCATGTAACTTTCTAAAAAAACCAGCTTTGCAAGAAATATCTTGAGGGTACAAGATAACCATTACTAACAGAACAGAAAACATATATCTAAGAATATGAATAAAGATAATTAAAAATATCCCTAACATTTATGCTAAAATGTTCACGCACACGTGTGCCCGATCTAACACAAACACACTCGTGTTCGCTGCCATCGACGTTTACTAATGGACATTCCTTAGGAGTCAGAATTGTGGTACAACAAAAGAAATTATTACAACGACATACGGCTAAGGGACGTCCATTAATAATATATGTCTATGCTTGCTACAATATTGAAAGCAATTTTCTGTTCTTAAATTTTCTAGAGCTAACAGTACTTCTTGCCCTGAAATATGATCAGTAGTTATTAAAAGCTCCGCTTCTAATGTAACAGTTTTCTGAAAGAGGGATATGTCAGTACTGTTAAAAACATTACGCACTATTCCGCATGTATCAAGGATTACTAATTTCTGTAGACTTACGTACGTAAACTTATGCAGTTTCAACTCGGCTAGTCTAGCGGGTAATGTTTTAGGTATAACGCCTATTGATGATACGATATTATTACTGGAATAATTCGAACTGTGTTCTGATTCCACATTTCTTTTATTTCATCTGCCAAAGGAATATATTTTTGAATTTTCTCAATATGTTTTTGTTTAAGATTTTCGGTGTTTGGTACAGCAACATCTATTAGGCAGGTTGTTTTAGTTTCTTTGATGGTCAGTGTGATAACAGGTCTATTGTGATTAGCTGTTTTGTCTGTAATTATTAAGGCGCAGTACCCATGAATTAAGTAAGTGCTGTCCATTTCAACTTGTAAGAATTGTGACCTTGAAGAAATCTGCGCGAAGATAGAAAGAATACACACTAGGCGTGAGCAAGACTGAAATAGTTGGAACAAGCTTGAACGAGCAGAGCTCTCGATGGGCGGTCTTAGGAGATCGGCTAGAACTGTACAGTACTAGACGAAAATGTTTAGCAATTTATTAAAACAAAAATGTATATAAATTAACAATAGAAAACAAAGCAAAAGTTTTATAGGTGTGTAGAACGTTAAGTTAATTCACTTGTTATTATTTTTGGCTAAATATGCTTTTAAATAAAGCATATTNTGAGGTTAAAAATATCACATGATTTTTTATTGTTATTTATTACTTATTTATTTATTTTATTAGGTGGAGAATCATTGGAAAAAGATGCTCGAAGATTTAAAATGTGGTTTCAAATAGATCAGAACGAGCCTTTCGTGGTGGAAGGATTGATAATCATTTTTTCATTAGTCAATTCCTTTTTTTAAATTATACCTGAATTAAAATTTTTAAAATTTAAATTATCCCGCCATTCATGAATACATCTATTGTTCGATGTTTTTCAGAAAACATCGAACAATCGATGTAATAAATATTGGAACATCGATGATTTTTTTCAACATCGCCCATCCCTAGATGCAGACGTCTCCAGCTTTGGTCAAAGTGCTCCACTACTGACAACAGATATTCGTCCCTGAGCACCCTGGACTCAAGAAAGTTCTCGTTTGACGGGTTGTAGGACTTTTGTACAATATTAATATTATTAATTCTATACAATTTAATTATTTAAATTCTCTATAATAAATAATTAATAATACAACGTGGGTTTACCTAATATTATAGGTTTTTACAGTAAGCTAGTCTAGTATGGCAGTTTCATTAATGAAATGGATTTCTGGCTTGGCTCTTTGTGAAACAGGTTGAAAATTTTAATCTTTCAGTAATGTTGTTGTTTCATTTACTTTGGTTACCCGGTTTGGATTCCATTTTTGGTGGATCCCGCCACTCTTTCTAGGATTCGGCCGGGTACCGGATAATGACACCGGATACCCAGCATGTCAGGTAATTGTACCAGAGTAAAAAGAAGTATAACAAAAAAACTATCAAATGAAAATTGGTAATTAAGGTCGTTTGTCCTAATTTGTATTATTTATTAATTACCAGGCTTAGGATAATTATGCATTAAAAAAGTACAAAATATGCATGCAAATATGCATTTAAAATATTAAATATATGC